AACAAACTAAAAACTTTCTAGTATTCGTATATAAGTTTTTAAACAATTTTATAACATTTTTTTGTGTTTTTTTTTTCCAATTATAACAATAATTTATTTTTATTTTTTTCAATTATAACATCCTACTTATACCAAAACCACATACTTTCACATAATACATAAAAGCATGAAATTCACATACTTTCACATGCATATACCACATATACACCAAATACAAATACATTCACATACACACTTAATAACATCCTACTTAAACCAAATACACATATTTTCACATATATAAATAATAACATCCTATTTATACAAAATACACAAATTTCACATTCATTTACCACATTTACAACAAACATACATAAATTCACATACACACACAATAATATCCTACTTATAACAAACACATAATTTCACATATATAAATAATAACATCATATATACTTCTACCAAATACACATATACCACATATACATCAAACACACATACATTGGCATATATTCACCAAATTCACATAGATTCATACAAATATCAAATATACATACATATGGCAATTTTCACATAATTGATACAACTACACATAGCTTGCAATTAAACTCAAATTTCACAATAAATTGAAATAATAGAACATGTAGTGGCAGAAATCAATGAATATGTCGCCGAAAAAATTGGTCTTCACCCGAAAATACCCTCACCCATAAACCTAAAGACAACACTACCAAAAACACTGAAATTGAAAAATAATTTGCAATTAATCATCAAATGCAGCTAGAAATCGAAGTTAACATACAAAGACAAAGAGATATAAGAACTTCAACTTACCTTTCTTCCCGAGATGGAGCTAGAAATCGCGACTTAACCCGTTTAATTGAAGCCCTAACCACCCTTGATCCCTAATCTCACAATGTGGGGAGATATCTTGTTGGAATCAAGGAATCGATAGCAAAATGGGGCAGCGATTGGAAGAGCAGCAGCGTCACAGGAAGCAGATGGAAAACAGGAAGCAAAAGAGCAGAATGCGTCCGGTTTTCTTTTTTATCCGCGATAGCCTTTAGCGGCGACAATTTAGGCTTTACCGACGACACGAACCAACAGCGGCGACTATCGGGAGGGAAGGGTACCGCGTCTTTTTTTAGACCACTATTAGCGGCGACTTTTTAGACTTTTAGCGGCGACACGAATGTCGCTGGTATTAGGTTTGTGCGGTTAAGAGTCCCCAACCGTTGGATTAGATACTCGATCGAACAGCTGAGATCTATTAGAGCGGGAAAACGCGGATTCGGATGATAAGCTTTTAGCGGCGACACAATTAGCGGCGACAAATGGTACAGTCGCCGCTAAAAGGCATTGTCGCCGGTAATTGTGTCGCCGCTAAAGGTATAGTTTCTAATAGTGCCTTTTTAGTTATAGAAAACATAAATTTTTTTAAATGTTTTTTATTGTCATTTTATATCTTTAAATCAGTTTTACCAAACGTCATATTTATAAACTAGTTTTTCAGATATCAACTAGCTTTTTAGCTACCAACTAGTTTTCAACTCGTCTATCAAACATAATCTAATTAAGTGTAACTAAACTACTGATGATTTTTAGTAGAAAAATTATTACAAAAATGAAGATGTAGCAAATTTTCTTTAACTATATTTATATTCAGTGTTAATGGTCAGGTAATAATCAATAACTTAAAAAAAATGGAAAAACTAAATGACAAAATTCTCAACTGTTCACAAAAGTACACAAATCGTGTTCAATTAATATATGACTAGGAGGAAGTTAGATATATATTGCGTGTGAGTTCCATGAATGTCTCTTCTCTGCATGGGAGCGTGAGACCTCCCATTGGATGATGATAACCGAACTCCTCTTTGGCCAGATTCAGCAACATCTGAAAAGAAGGATGTTTCAAGTAAGCTAATGGAACTATAAATCGTTTCTTTCCTTTTTCCCCAACATATACACTGAAATGGCCTTTGGGTACGTCGATGACTTCTGAAGTTGAGATAATGCTCCTCGGTCTTGGCTTAGCATGAATGATTTTTGGCAATTTGTATACACCCATGATGAAAAGAAGAAATGAGGGCAAGTTTCCTGAAAGAGTTGATACCAATTGATGGTTCCTTTAAAACCAATTAAAGTGGTATAAATAAGCCTCAAAGAAGCTCGAGGATCCAGATGTTGAGATTTCCGATGCAATAAAAGTACGTTATGTTCTAGAAAAGTACGTTTTTTTATTCCACGTGGTTTTTTCTACATCCAGTGAATTGCAAGCATTCGTGTCATGTCAAAGAATTCAAGAATGATGGATACCTTGGGTCATCCGAGGATTTATTCTCTTGTTGCTATGGCACATATGATACGGATGCATGTTGATATTTACGCGTGGCATACTCCCATCCAAAACAATAGGCTGGTTATATTTACTTTGGATGTGAGCTTATTTTCAACTTTAAAAAAATTCAAATTTTGTGTCCTTTTAAGAATTAATGTAATTAAATCGTAAGGATATATCGGAGTTTTTTTTCCACCTAAGGTATCTCAAAAAGAAATTATAGAAGTATGACCGCTCGATATTATTTATGTCCATTTATGTGGAAAATAAAGTAGGATGTAACGTCTTTACTTGTTTGTGTATTAACTTGATAACTTAATGATTATGTGACGAATAATATAGCAGTAGATTTTAAATTTTTTTGTTAAATAATAGATTAAACTACAATTTTGGTCCTTACGTTTTGAAAAAAAAAAATGAAAGTGGTTCACAATCTTTTCACGTGTATTAATTAATATTGGTGTATTACTGGTTTAAAAGCTGAAATTTATTATGGTTATGGTCGCTCAATCTAAACTTCTTCATTTTTTTTCCTCATTTAAGCCGCATTAAGTAGAACATTTTTTGTCTGCTCATGTTAGGCCCCTCTTTTATTTGTTTACCGCTATTCAATTAAGGAGAACGGATTAGCATTTATGATTTAGCATACGTATGGGTGGACGTAGACGACGCATGTTGAAGGCAGGCGGTATCGGCAATACCTCGGGCAGTCGGGCTACATTGTTCCAAGTAGGAGATAAAGCGGAAAAAAATTTTGGTGGGAGGGGGGGTGCTCTCTCTCTCTCTCTAAATTATTTTTTTTATTTCTTTAATACCTATAAATACAACCTCACATACCATTACTTTTTTTTTTTAGAAACGGCGAAGAATTTTATTAAGAATACCCACAACAAGAAGTTGAACAGGGCCCAAATCAAGAAAACATGGAAAATAACAAACTGCAATTACATCAAAGAGAAAGGTGAAGCTAGCCAATCTTCTTATAGATCTATGCGGGTTGACGACCCCACCCGTGGTTGCTAGCTACAACCCAACGGTCTGCGGGTGACGAACTGTCCTATTGATTGTTACGGACCCGACGTCGATGAAGCGTACAGGGGAAGTATTTACCTTGGTGGAATCCTTTATGGCACCAATGGCGGTTTTATTGTGGCACTAATGGAGGAACCATTGGTGGGATATCTTTTAATCAGAGGTTTGTATGTCTAGTAGCGGTTACGGACTCATGGTAGCACAACTTTAGAAGCATTATACTTTGTCGATATACAAGTATGAATGTTAAGTATAAGTTTCCCAAAGACTTATACTCCAAGTACAAGGAAATTGTAGGTACACTACTTGCTCATTAAGTAGACAATTATACCTAGCACACTTACTCATATAGAATTGAAATAGATTTATACGTAGCGGTTTTACTCGTATAGAATTGAAATAGATTTATACGTAGTGGTTTTACTCGTATAGAATTGAAATAGATTTATATGTAGCGGTTTTACTCGTATAGAATTGAAATAAGATTTATACGTAGCAACCTTAATTTGTATGGGATTACATTCATTTTTTCATAATATGTGAAACTTATAGGTATATCACTTATTTAATAAGTAAACCATTATACCTAATATACATACTAAATGTTGGAGAGTCAAAATGATACTTTCAAAACTAAACTTTTGAACTTAGAAAAAGTATTGTTTTCATATGGAGTCAAAACCTGTGAACTCACCAACTTTATGTTGACGTATTTTAAAATGCATGTGTTTTTAGGAAGTTGATAACTATGATACAAGAAATGACGTTACACTACCCGGTGTTTCCGCCGACAGCCGGGGTGTGACAAAAACCCAAGATGATGCAGTTTTGTACTCAGGCAAGAAAACCATCCACGAGGTGATTGTTTGAGTCCATAGAGTGCTTTTTGCAGTTTGCACACAAACGTAGGATGGTGAGGGTCCTCAAAACCAAGTGGTTGCTGCATGTAGACTTCTTCATCCAGGAACCCATGAAGAAATGCATTGTTTATATCAATTTTTCGAAGATGCCAGCCCCGAGACACGGCTAAAGACAAAACCAATCGAATTGTGGTTGGTTTGACAACCGGACTGAAAGTATCTAGATAATCAACACCATATTGTTGAGTGAAACCACGAGCTACCAAGCGTGCTTTATACTTGTCTATAGTACCATCCGGATGTTGCTTAAGCTTAAAAATCCATTTACATCCAACAATATTCACACCAGCGGGACGTGGTACGAGAACCCATGTATTGTTCTGTTGAAGTGCAGCAAATTCGGACTCCATGGTTGTTCGCCAAGCTGGATCAGAGAGGGCCAAGCAATATGACTGTGGTGTTGCAGTGGTGAAGGTACGCTTTGTTGGATCATACCGGACAGTGCGATCAGTGAATTTTCGAGGAAAAACTTTTCCAACACGACTTCTGGTGGTAACACCAGGAGTAGGGACAATTGTGTTACTCTGATCAGTTAGATTCGTTGATGGTGCATCGACAGTTGGAGGGGTTGGTGAAACGGATGCAGGAGTTGTTGTACCTGCAATGGGAGATAATGGTGCAATAGGTGTTGAAGGAGTATCTGGTGTGTACTCATCTAGATTGATGATGGTTGATGTTTTCTCAGTTTGAACCATTGCGGGAGTATGTTATGGTGAACAGTGAATATGCACCGATGGAGAGAGAGAGAAGGAGAAGACTTAGCTGCAGCTGCATCAGATTCGTTAGCCAATAAAAGAGATAGGTCATAATTTTGCATATGTTCATTTGTAATTGTTAGTTCTGACTGAGGAAAAGATGTGACTTTTGATGCACACGATGGGCTAGCATGACAATCTGAGGATGCAAAAGGGAACCGAGATTCGTCAAAATTGACATCTCGAGAGATGTATATTTTTCCCGTGGTTCTATCCAAGCATTTGTAGCCTTTGTGCATAGAACTATATCCGAGAAAAACACATAATTTCGACCGAAAATTAAGGTTGTGAGTATTGTATTTCCTTAGGCTTGGCCAACATGCACAACCAAAGACACGAAGAAAAGAATAATCTGGGTTGACTTGTAAAAGTCGTGTGATTGGTGTAGTATTGTTTATGGTACGACTAGGCATACGATTTATAAGGTAGCAGACAGTCAAGAAAGCTTCGTCCCAATAACGAAGAGGAAGAGATGACTGAGCTAAAAGGGCTAGACCGGTTTCAACTATGTGGCGGTGTTTTCGCTCAGCCACACCATTCTGTTGTGTCGATACAGCGAATGAGTTGGGGAAGAACGTCCTCAGTCATAGATGATAACAGACCTCCGATGACGGCTTGGTCCTGAATCACCCATGTTTCATAGTCGGGATTGGGTGTTGTTTTTGTAGCTTCAGTTGTTTCTTTTCCGGCAACGCTAGTTCCGGTGGTCAATGTGGTTGCAGGTGTTGGTGTAGTGCCATCCAGATGTCCAAAGAGTCTGACTCCTCGTAGAATAGGAGTGACTTGATCCTTCCATAGCAAGAAATTAGTACGAGTGAACTTGCAAGAGATAGCGGTAGCAATGGTGGATGCTGGAAGAAGGTTTTTGAGATATAGGGATCACGACTCTGATACCAAGTTAACAGAAGTATTTTGCAGTGAATTCCCTTAGGTATTGATATCCCTATATATAAAGGGATGATTACAACAATAGATCCTAAGATAATGGATCTCATCTATATCTATACATTAAATCATATCTGATATCTAAACAGTTAATTCTCATCTTGTTTACAGGAGCGAGGGTTATGAATGAAGAATCGTATCCACTGGCTAGTGAACCGAAATCCTGAAAATGGCACACAACATTTATCACATCGACATGCATGAGGTTCCAATAGGTTTTAATGAATTTGAAGGTAAGCCCATCAGGGTCGGGGGCATTATCTCCACAGCAAGCCCAAACAGCAGTCTTGACTTCATCTAAGAAGAAATGGGCTTTAAGATGGATGGTGTTCATCATAGAAAGTGACTTGAAATTCAGATTAATTAGTTTAGGCCTTGATGCCCATCTCTTCGTGAATTTCGATTGAAAGAATCTGAAAGCTTCGTTTTTAATGTCTTAGACCTCAGTCGACCACCTGTCATTGATCATAAGCCTAGTGATTTGATTATTCCTGATGTTGTTATTGACATAACCATAAAAGAAGGATGTGTTTTCATCTCCATCTACCACCCATGTCAACAGGGCTTTCTGTTTAAGATCAAGTGCAGCCATACGCTCTAGTTCAAGGATCCTTTTGAGGCCATTGCTTCGTATTGAAAGATCACTGTCTGATAGAGTATGAGTTTCAGTTTCCTTCTCTAATTTTCCCACCATTGCCATTGATCACATACCATTACTTACTACATCAAAATCTACATCTCAATTCTCTCTAAAAAGGTCATCTTCATCTTCATCGTCGGGTTTTTTATATGGTGTTAGAATCGGTCATAGATGTAATTCAATCCGTTGGCCAGCATATCGAAGAACTACTTCAACAAAATGTCAAAAATCCGATGAAGATGTGTGGTTTTGTCCCTCCAACGATTGTAGGTGTGTTTATGCCTAATATTTAGACAATTTTTTTAATATCTACCATTTAGTCGGTCAAAGACGTGTTAGTAGGTCACCCACACTTGTTAGATGTTCACCCCAACTGTTCATCACACTATCATCATATTCTCTACGCAAACACATATGGTTTCATAACCGAAACACAGACATACACACATTCAAGCAAGAAATCAAAACTTAAATAAGACTTTTGCAACTTTTCAGAACTCAAACAATATTTCAAAACAAACTCAAACAAGGAAAGGATTTCAGATTCAAAACTAAAGAACCTGATGTGCATCGATTTTAGATTGAAGATCTAGGTTTGTTTTTGAAAAACGCATACACACATTTAAAGAAGAAATTAGATTTTTTGGGTTTGTTCTTGAAAAAACATACACACACATTCAAAGAACTCAAATTTCAAACAAGATTTTTGGAAACAACATTTCAGAACCTAGATCGTAGATATGGGTTTGTTCTCATCTTCTTCACATCAATTTATACCACTAATGTTCTTTAAAGATGTGGATTCTAAAAAGATGGGTTTTTGATGATGAACACAAATCTAGGTTTTTAAAGATGAATACATAGTGTGTGTGTGTGTGTATATGTGTGTTTCTCTTTTGACTGATGGGTTGAGATTCAATGACCCACCCCTTATTGCCCCTTATTGTTTAATCGACTTTAGGTAGCTTCTTCAAAAAAGAATATGATTTATGGCATGTATGATGAATCGATTAGCGAGAAAATGGAGAAGATGATGAACACTAGAATGGGTTTAGGGTTTTCGATTTAGCTTTTTCTTCCCTTCCTTTTTTCTCATGAAGACGATGGTGGGAGGTTGAAGATGATGAAAAGTAAGAGGGTTCTTGTTACCTGGAAACAAGTAGATAACTTGCTAAATGGCATATGTGAGAAAAACACCCAAAATAATAGGCACAAACACACCTAAAATCGTTGGAGGGACAAAACCACACAAAACTGAAATTTAATGAAATTTGAAGTTTTATAAAAATAATTTGTTTAAACTGATTATTTTTTATGTAAATTACTTTTAGAAAAAAATATATTATGGTAAAAGTGGCAACCCATGCCCTCTAAATGGTAAACTTTTGATGCATTGTGATAAATCCTACGTGGCGGCACTTTTAGTGTGGCAAGTGTAGCACCGCTCATTTCAAATGAATTCTAATTTGTAGCAAATCCAAAAAAGTGAGTTCAAGCCAAAGATGCAACCAAGCAACAAAACTAGAAGTGGTTCTCTAGATTTTCCATATCCATTCACGAAACTCAAATCCTTAATTATCCTGAATACCCATAATATCTACCCCAATAGACTACCGATGCAACAAGCGTATAACCAGTTTCGAGTTTCGAGTATCTGAAGAAAATATTGGTTATAATTTGTTCCCATGCAATTCATAATCCATTATGGACCAGTTCCAATATTCCAGTCCAAAAGCATCGCAATTCTATGATGCTCAAAAAAGAGAATCTAAAGAATCAAACAGCAAACCTGCTCCCATCCATAAAACCCAAAATGAAGAAACAAGCAACATTCTAACCCACTCCCAACACCAAATTAAATTATAACAAGTGCCAAAAATCTAAAAAAAATGAGCTGAGAAGAAAGAAGTGGTGTTGAAGAAGACTTATACTTGATATTCCGGAAGATAGCGAACATAGAAATTAACATATCATTTGCTTCTGGAGAGCGAATTCTCGAACAATTTAAAGTGCAACCGAGGGTCGAATCGTTCAAAGCATCAAATGAATTCCAAATGAAATAATATGCAAAAGAAATGTAACGATTTCAATTGCATCTTCAACCAAAAGATGAATGGCGTGCATTGATATTTTAAAGTCGACACAAAGTTAGTATCAAAAACTCTATAAAATGAAAGCTTTTCGACACAATGCGGTTTGGGTATTTTAAAATTTCAGGAGAATCGGTTGCGTCAACAAATACGGTGAGAATTCCCTCCTTTGTACAAAAGTACCAAAACATCTAACTCCAACATGTACATAACTTTTTCGGATGCATAATTTCCATATGATTTCAACATCGAGCCTAAAGAGATTCTTGTTAACTCACTGCCATGTATGAAACGACCCAAAAATCATGGCTAAAAATTTCATTTTTAATACGTTACTTAAACCACCTTTGTCAATCCATAACATAAATCATAACATAAAATCAGAGTGTTAATTCAAAACATATTCTTATTATCAGAGTAAAACATCCCAGGCTGACTGACTATGGTGTGTGCCATGCGATCATCCCGAGCTCTTCCCTCCGCTACCGAAAGTACCTGAAACCAAAACTGAAAACTGTAAGCATGAAGCTTAGTGAGTTCCTCAACCTACCACATACCATACACATAACTGTTGGATTAGTGTCTAAGCCA